GAAAGAGAGGGTGGTTTGGGTAGGGAGGGACAGAAACTTTAAAAGATGGATTGAAGTATTGTTGATGTGGTGTCCTCCATATAGAGAGGAAAGGCACCTGGCTTCCTGTATGGGTTGGTTCAGTGGCTTCCTGGAACAGAAGAAATCTTGGTGAGGTAGTGTTAGACCTAAGAAAAACCAATTCCACAAATGTCTAATTAAAGTTAGCTTAGTTTAGAGGCACACCAGGAACTGGCCAGCTGGCTGTCTTTCCCAAAGTTGGGATTTTGGAGGGCAGTATTGGATGTGAGGAAGACTAGGCTTTTATAGAGCTCAGGGGTAGGGGGCTTCCAAATGGGGAGGGGAGGGGGGTAGGCAGGGGTATGGGAGCTCCATATTACAGGTGAACAAAACAAAGTAATCACAGCAGGTAGTCATAACAAGGTAGTCATAGGGGGGTCGTGTAACCTTTTGAAACAAAGGTAAGATTTCGAGATGGTTATAAATAGCTTTTTGAAACAAAGATGTGATTGCCATTCCTGGAACTGGCAGTATAGAACCATTTGTAGTTAAGGTTACAGGTGGGTCATAGCCCAATCCTTGAGAAACAGAGGTTTAATCATAAACAGGAATGAGCACAGTTTTCTTCACTGTAAAACGGCTTTTAAGCCTAAGGCTGGTGGCAGGCTGGTCCTTGAGCAGGTGTGACATCTTAACTCTACCCTGGTTCCCTGAGATGTTCATTTTATGAGATTAATTCCTGTTAGTAGGAGGTACTAGCTAAGTACTGGTCATGGGAGAATTGAGAAATTAGTCATTCAAATAATTTTGCATGAAGCTTAATTGATTATAAAACCCAATGTCTTCTGAAAAAAGTCAGAATATTACTTTTACAGGAAGATATTTTGGTCTGGTGCCTTAGAAAAGTATCCTGAATATTTCTTTCACAAGTGGGGAGAGGTCTTCGTGGTTTTATCTGATCCATCCACTAGAAAGAGGCCTTCAAACTTTTTCAGTAAATTACCTAAGCAGTAAATTTTTCAGGCTTCAATATTATAGCTCCTCATTCTGCCACTGTAGAAAGGAAAACAGCCACAGACAATATGTATGACTACATGTCAATAAAACTTTATTAGTAGACACTGAAGTTGGAATTTACATAATTTTCATATGTCATGAAATATTCTTTTGATTTTTAAAGACCATATCAAAAGTTTAAAACCAATCTTAGGGCTGGAGAGATGGCTCAGCAGTTAAGAGCACCACTGTTCTGGCAGAGGACCTGAGTTCATTTCTCAGCACTCATATTAGTGTGTTCACTCCAGCTCCGAGAGAGTCAAGGCCCTCTTCTGGAGTCTCTAGACCATTGTACTCACATGCACATTCCTACAGATACACATAATTAAAAGGAAATCTTTTTTGTCTTTTGAGATAGGGTCTCACTAAGAAGCCTTAGGCTGTCATGGAGCTGGCTATGTAGACCAGGCTGGGCTCAAGCTCAGATCTGCCTGATTCTCTCCTCAGTCCTGGGATTAATGGCATGCACTACCATGCCCATTAAGTACATTTTTTTTAGCCGCTGAGCCACCTCTCCAGCCCCAGTTAGTAGATAAGTTTTTGAGTGCCTGCTGTAAGCCAAGCAGTTAAGGTAAAAAAATAAAAAATAAAAAAAAGGGCATAAATTCCTACTTCTTAAAGTTTAAATTATAGTGGAGAAAAGAGAGAGTAAACAAGTTAACAAAATATAGAGTATTTTAGAAGGCAACAAGAGAAGAGAAAAAACAACACAGAAGAAAAGCTGTGGAGTGTGCTTATCCGGGAGTTGTGTCATATGTGGTGGCAGAGAAGGTCTCTGGGAAAGCAGTATTGAGGGAAAGCCTGAAGAAGTGAGCTAGTCATGAAGTTACTTGAAGGAAGAGCATCGCCTATAAAGAGGACAGTGGTGCAAAGACCCTGAGGTGAAGCCCAGGACAGGCTTGAACAGCCTATGAGGCAGGAAGAAGACATTGTTGGGTTTTGGAAGGTGAGTGATCTAGGCTAGATGAGGTTGAGTTTTTCCCTTCCCCCATCTTTTTTGTTTTGTTTTTTGAGACAGAGTTTCTCTGTGGTTTTGGAAACTGTCCTGGAACTCACTTTGTAGACCAGGCTAGCCTTGAACTCACAGAGCTCCATCTGCCTCTGCCTACTGAGTGCTGGGATTAAAGGCATGCACCACCACCGCCCAGCTCCTTCCCCATCTTTTTATTTTGAAATTATTGCAAATATTCAAAAGAATTGAAATCAGCAGAATAGAATAGTACTGTTTCCTTAGAATCACCAATTAATGCCTTGGCACATTTGCTATCTACCCTTGTAATGTGTTGTTGGAGCCACATAAAAGTAAGTTGCAGATATCATGACACTTTATCCTAAATCTTGCAGCCCTTACCTCCCTAGAATGAGGACATTTGTTCATAACTCCCCATCATGACAGCAGTCCTAGAGACAAGTCTGCATAGCATTCTGCAGTGTTGTCTGATACCCAGCCTATGTTCAGAACCTTTCCCCAATAGGCTACATTAGGTTTTCTTTCCTTCTCCTTGTCAGTAGGCCTGGCTAGGGACTAATCCTGGGTCTTCAAGCCTCCCCCTTGACCACACCCCCATCTTGGAAGGTTAGTTTTAAATTAACCCAATATCCAATCAGGGTTCTTGTGTCTTTTGTTCTTTTTTTCTGCAGTGTAGCTAGCGATGGGGTCCATCAGCTTGCTTTTACTCTCTGTGGTCCTGCAGTTTGTTTGCATACCTGCTCATGAGACTCAACCCAGGACTTTGCTATTGTTTTGATAAGTCTTCCCTGAACTCTGAAGTACAGGTGACCCTGTCACAGCTCACATCTCTATTGTGTCCCCATTTCTACACGGTGGTCTCTCCTAGAACATCACATCAGTAATCAAGTCTCGTACTCACTCAGATATTAGTGACTTCTGTAGCTGTGTGGCTGGCCCCTGGAGCCCCTAACAGTCCTGTCCTCTGGAGCGTAACAGTCTAATGGGCATTAGATACCGAGCATGAAGGAAATGGGTGGTAAGTGAGGCTGGCGCATAGGTGGGACTGCAGATGTGACATTCATCTTTGTGGTTCTCACAGGGAGCACCCCACTTGGCTGCTACCAGAAGCTGATTGAGTACTATAAGAATGGGGACCTGTCCTTTAAATATGTGAAAACCTTCAACATGGACGAGTATGTGGGTGAGTATCTCCTGTTCTTCCCCATCATAGGGCACTCATGCCCCTTCTCACAGGCTCAGCCTTAGAGAGGAATGGCTTAGGTAGTAGTGCTCGTCTCTTGCAGCCTTGCTTTACTCAGCTATAAAATGGGGCTTATCTAAGTAGCTGTGTTAAGAGAGGCCATGATTGGTGCAGAGGCTTATTGTGCATAGCAGACATTTTATTGAATACTTACTAAATATGAAGGTGCTTTCCTCCCACTGCTTGGTCCTCAACTCCATGCCATTTCTCTTTGGAACACTTGGAGATGAGATCCTGGGACCCAGGTTCAGTGTCTGGACTGTTTTCTTATGTGTATCCTTCAGCTCCTTTTTCTGTCAAGTACCCTTGGTGGAGGCTGAGACTTGTGCCTTTTGTCTTCCATCATCTCCTGTCACCCAGTGGTTTCATTTTAAAAAAAAAAAAAAGATTTATTTATTTATCATGTATACAGTATTCTGTCTGCATGTATGCTTGCAGGCCAGAAGAGGACAGGACACTAGATCTCTTTACAGATGGTTGTGAGCCACCATGTGGTTGCTAGGAATTGAACTCAGGACCTCTGAAAGAACAGCCAGAGCTCTTAACCACTGAGCCATCTCTCCAGCCCCAGTGGTTTCATTTTAAATGTTAAAAAACAAACAGAAACCTGGTAAAATAAACATTTACCATCTTTAAAACTGGATATTTTGAAGTAGCCCAACTACTGGGGTCAGGGAAAGGGTGGATAAGACAGGTGTTGCTTTAGCCCAGGGGACTGACGACAGCTTGGGAAACACAGACATTTCTGGATGAAAAGCACAAAATCAAGGCTGGAGAGATGGCTCAGTGGTTAGGAACACACACTAGCTTTAACCCCAGAACTAGGAAGATGGAAGTAGTAGGATCTCAGTGAGTTTAAGGCCAAGCCTGGTCTACATAGCAAGTTCTGGGATAGCCAGGACAACACAGGGAGACCCTGTCTCAATCCCCTTCCCTACCAGAAAAAAAGAACACATACTGAACCCAAGTACAGTTCCCAGCACCCACCTCAGGTGACTTAAAACCACCTGTAACTCCAGCTGCAAAGGATCCAGCACTTTCTTCCGGCCCCCATGGGCACTGCACTCATACTCCCACCCAAACCGCCACAGACATCTTTTTCTTGAGCACTTTTTAATGTACAGTTCAGAAGTCTCGAGTGCATTGATACCACTGTGGCTCCTCTTCAGAACTCTTACCCTGTAATACTGCTCACCAGTTTTCCTTCTCTCAAGGTGCTAGAAACCACTGTTTCACTCTGTTCCCCTGAACCTAACTTCTCCAGGCAGGATGTGAGTCAGGTAATGAATGCATTTTGCTGTTTGTGCCTGGCTTCTCCACAAACCATTCATCTGTTTATGGTATGTACCAGAGGTTTTTTTTTTTTTTTTTTTTTTTTTTTTTTTTTTTTTTTTTCTTGCTGCTGTGTAGCCTAGTCTTGCTTGGAACTTGTGGTCTTCCCACTTTTCCTCTCGAGTGCTAGGATTGCAAGTGTGTACTGCTGTGCACAGTAATTTCTTTCATTTTAAAGACTAAATGTATATTGAAAATTACATCAATTTATTGTGTGTGTGTGTGTGTGTGTGTGTGTGTGTGTGTGTGTGTAGATTAGAGGATTACTTGCTGGAGTCTGTTATGTCCTTCCATCATCTGGGTCCTCGAGATCAGGCCATCAAGTTTGGGGGCAAGTACCTTTTCACGCTGAGCCATCTTGCCATCTGTACTTTTTAGACAGAATCTTATTAAGTAGCCTCGTTGTCTTAGAACCAATTCTGTAGCCCATGCTGGTCTTAAAGATCCACCTGCCTCTGCCTCCCCAATGCTGAGATTAAAGGCATTTGCTACCACCTCTTGGCCATCCCTGCTTTTAAATATGTTTTGAGACAAATTTTCCTTTGATTTTGGCATAGCTAAAGATTGAACCTAACACCTGGGGTATGCCTGGCAAGTGCTCTACCACTGACAAACATTCTTGGTCTCTGATTTAAAATGTTTCAAGTGTTTTAAGACAGAGACTCACTATACAGCCTTGCCTGGCTTGGAACTTACTATGTCAATCAGGCTGGCCTTGAACTTCTAGGGATCGTCCACCTTCCTTTGTCTCCTGAGTGCTGGGTTTTTTGTTTTTGTTTTTTGTTTGTTTGTTTGTTTGTTTGTTTGTTTTGAGACAGGGTTTTTCTGTATTGCTTTGGAGCCTATCCTGGAACTCACTTTGTAGACCAGGTTGGCCTCAAACTTACGGAGATCACCTGCCTCTGCCTCCTGAGTGCTGGGATTAAAGTCGTGTGCCACCAACTCCTGGCTAAGTGCTGGTTTTAAATACTCTTTACATTAAAATTCTTTTTAAACATCTTTCAGTTTGAGAAGCTCTGATATTCTCTCCAACTACTAATGTTTAAGTTGGAGGAGTTTAGGTTTAATGGGGAATGATGGAATGAGGGGTGAGATAGAAGGCCCAGGGTAAAGAATGTGGTTGCTTCCATTCCCCATGGACTCAGTCTTAGCCACCCAGGTGGGCAAGCCACCTCTAACTGCACAGTGTTCCTAGACTCCAGCTTGTGACCATTCCCTTATGAAAAGGTGATGAATGTGTATACCCCCAACCCCAAGCTGATGCAAAAGATCAAACTGATGGTCTCACACATGCTAGGCAAGTGCCCTACCACTGAGTTACAGTGGGGATCAGAATGAGATTTCCCAGTTCCCAGCCACCCCCTCCCCATATGTAGCTACAGCTCAGCCCACTCTGTAGTCATTGATAATGGCCATGGTTGATTACACACCAGCCCAGTCTGTCCTACATGGTCGGGGTTCAGATGGACAGTTTCCTAAGGGACACTGCAGCCAGTGTGACCTCCCAGTATTGTCCTTGGGAGAAGGACTCTGGCTTAGCCTTGGCCTGATTGAGTATCCCCTGGTCCCACAGGTCTTCCTCGAGAGCACCCAGAGAGCTACCACTCCTTCATGTGGAATAATTTCTTCAAGCACATTGACATCCACCCTGAAAACACCCACATTCTGGATGGGAATGCGGCTGACCTGCAGGTCGAGTGTGATGCCTTTGAGGAGAAGATTCGGGCTGCGGGCGGGATCGAACTCTTTGTTGGAGGTGAGCATGGCTACATAAGAGAGACTCTGGAGAGAGGGGGGAGGGGAAGGGAGAAGAAAGAGAAGAAAGAACTAGTAGAGGGGAGGGCAGGATTTTGCAGGTCCTACAGTTTGGTTTGCTGGATTCCAGCTCTGGGCAAGAGGGAGGGAGAAGTTGTACCTCCCCACAGTCTTGGAGTGGAAAGGAAGTTATTTTACACAATTCTGAGCTAATTGATGGTGGATGGAAACATGTTACCAGAGTCTGTGTGTGCCTTAAGTAGAAGAGATGGGGAGGGAGGTCACATGTTTGAGGTAGAGCTGACTTAGGGTATAAATGAGAGAAGAAATGTAATTTTCAAAGTGTTTTGTTTTGTTTTGTTTTTTTTTAGAGCAGGAGAGACTGTTGTTTTTAACTTTTTGGTCCCTGGGACTCATGGCACTGCTCTCCCATCTCCACAGGCATCGGCCCTGACGGACATGTTGCTTTCAATGAGCCGGGTTCCAGTCTGGTGTCCAGGACCCGTGTGAAGACTCTGGCAATGGACACTATCCTGGCCAATGCTAGATTCTTTGATGGCGATCTTGCCAAGGTGCCCACTATGGCCCTGACGGTGGGTGTAGGCACTGTGATGGATGCTAGAGAGGTAAGGATTCAAGGCTCTGCCTGCCAGCCTTGGCTAAGGTTGGAGAGAGGGGTTATTTTATTATTCATTTTCAGCTATACAGGCACCAAGTATACATTCTTATTAACTGAATTCTTCATAAATAAAGCTAAAATCCAAGCTGGTTTTGACACTGCTTCTCTTTTGCCTTTGGAGGTAAGGTCATTCCTGGGGGGAGGGCAATCATCTGGGCATTTTATCTGTGCCTCAGGGACCAGAGACTGGCCTAGATCTCTCTGCTTGTGTACCTCTTTCGTATAGCTTGTGGGCAGAGGCTTCAGGCACCACAGGTGGAGGACTAAGAATTGTATCTGCCTGGGTACCTACCTAGCAGATACTTGGTCTCTGTGCTTGGTTACTGTTTGAAAGGACTCTCTTCCTACAACCCAAGGATACAGTGTCTATAGCCCTGGCTTGAGGGCAATAAATGTGATTAGAATGTAGTAAGGTTTTTCTCTTAGAAAATCAGGTATCATTGTAATTTAATTTTTTTTGTAGTTTCAGTTTTCTACTGTGTTTGAATTATACTTTATTTTTCAAAGTCATATTTTCCTTTTTTTTTTTTTTTTTTTTTTTGGACAGGGTTTCTTTGTGAAGCCTTGGCTGTCCTAGAACTCGCTTTGTAGACCAGGCTAGTCTTGAACTCACAGAGAACTGCCTGCCTCTGCCTCCTGAGTGCTGGGATTAAAGGTGTGCGCCAACACTGTCTCAAAGTCATTTTTCATTGTGTCTGTATCTATGCATATGCAATTGCATGTCATAGCACTCTCATGGAGCTCATAGGACAACTTCTGTGAGTCAGTTCTCCACCATGTAGGACTGGGATAGACCCTCAAGTTGTCAGGCTTGGCTGCAAGCACCATTGCTTGCTGAGCCATTCTCTAGCTCATGTGTTTGAATTTTAGAGGCATTTTCTTTTTCTTTCTCAGGTATTATACTCAGTGGGAAATGGCTGTAGACAGTTACTTTCCAGTTTCTTTGCTCAAGTCTGTGAGTAAGCATCTAAACCAGTGAACTTTAGTGAATTATGGTACCTAGATTTCCACTGGGTGGCCTGAATCAGTCCCTCAGGGTCTGCTTGCCTCTTGGAAGTACAAGGATTTAGAGGCCAGGCACACCAGAGAGGGCTTCTGACCTGGAAAATGGACCAAGGGTGGAATGTATGTTAAGGCTTTTGGAACCAAAGTCGCCTCCTTGTGCCTCTGTGTTCAGTTCTTTGAGAGGAGCAGTAGTAGTGCATGCCTTTAATACCAGCACTGAGGAGGCAAGGGAGACAGATCTGGAGTTCAAGGCCCATCTGGTCTACAGATCGAGTTCTAGGCCAGCCTGAGCTATACGTAGTGAGACCCTGTCTTAAATTTTTCAAAAAAAGGGAAGGAAGAGTGATCCTGTTGTCTGCTTAGAGGTGGTAGTGGAGGACATTGGGATGAATGGACATCTGTAGAGCTGAGTTCCTCAGGGTCACCTTTCAGCAGTGTGCTCTTGGTATCTTAGCTCTGGAATGTGGCTTTGCCTTGTATAAACAGAAAATGCCATGCCAGTCACAGTAGCGTCTTCAATGCTCTGAACTGGAAAGAGCAGATGTAGGGACAACCTTTGTGAGAGTCCACCTCGGGTGCCCAGATGACTCCCACCATGGCTTCCTATGCTGCTGGGTCTCCATCATTGGCCTGTTTTCTGATCCCCAGGTGATGATCCTCATCACAGGCGCTCACAAGGCTTTTGCTCTGTACAAGGCCATTGAGGAAGGCGTGAATCATATGTGGACTGTGTCTGCCTTCCAACAGCATCCCCGTACTGTGTTTGTGTGTGATGAGGATGCCACCTTGGAGCTGAAAGTGAAGACGGTCAAATATTTCAAAGGTAAGGCTCAGGCAGTGGAGAAAGCCCCAGGTAGGCTTGGGTGGGAGGCAGGGAGGTGTGGATCTGGCTTTCATTCTAGGTTTTTTTTGCTTTGCTTTATTTGAGTCAGGGTCTCACTGTGCAGCTCTGGCTGACCAAGAACTTACTTTGTAGACCAGGCTGGCCTTGAACTCACAGAGATCTGCCTGCCTCTGCCTTCTGAGTGCTGGAATTAAAGGAATGCACTACCACACACAGCACCTGTTTTAGTTTTAGTTTTCAGACAGGATCTCTCTCACTTCATAGCCTCCACTTAGAGTAGTAATCCTGCCTCAGACTCCAGGGTGCTGGAATTAAGAGTCATTACTGCCACACCCAGCTTACTCTGCTTACTCTAGCCATTTTAATCAGCACCTATGTTTTGTGTGTGTGTGAGAGAGAGAGAGAGAGAGAGAGAGAGAGAGAGAGAGAGAGAGAGGTGTGCGTGCGTGCCGTGGGGGTGGGGGTGTATGAAGATCAGAGGGAAGTTGTGGAATTGGTTCTTTCCATCCATCCTTATGTGGGTTCTGGGGATTGGACTCAGGTGGTGAGCAGCAAGCACGTTTACCCACTGAGCCATCTTGCTGGCCCACCACCTACCATAATAAACTAAACAATAATCAAGCCCTAACAGTTCCACAATATGGTCATTCCTTTTTCCGTTCATGACTGGTAGGGTCTATCTCTAAAAATGGTGACTGAGGAGACAAGGAGATGTAGGTACAAACCATAGGGCTGTGGTAATCTTGCAAGACATGGAGCCTCACATTTTCCCTGTCAATCCTCATACAGGCATTGCTCCTGTAGCTGGGGCACTAAACCAGCTAGCTAGGAACCTTTGTTTCGAGGATGCCTACTAGGACAGTTTAGGGTGTAGCTTTTCTAGAGTACCTGTCCGGTAATGGTAAAACCCCAGTTGTAAGCAAACTTATGTGAGAGGCCTAATTCATTAAGCAGCTAAATTAGAATTTACCCTTTGCTAAAAAGATTAATTCACAGTGGTTGGACTGACACAGTTGTAAACTCTTATCAATCCCCAGAATCAACTGTGTTGAGTGTTTGGAGATCACAGAGATCAAGGTCTGCTGGGGCCACTTGAGAGCCTGTGTTCCTCTTGACAATTGTGGAACTTTCGCCTTTGCCTGCATTGACTACTGTTTGCTTTAAATTTGTTACAGGTTTAATGCTTGTTCATAACAAGTTGGTGGACCCACTGTACAGTATCAAGGAGAAGGAAATTCAGAAAAGCCAGGCTGCTAAGAAGCCATACAGTGACTAGCCTGTGCCAAGTCACTTGAGTACCTCAGAAGAAGACAGGCGGGTCTTTCTGGAAATTGTAAGAGAGTAGAATTACTTTGCTTCAATACACTATGGTTGCTGCAGACCCTTGGCTAGGAACATACTGGCTGTGGGGAACATTGAGTTTAGCTATGGAGAACAGTGTTTAAAACTTTGACCTTTCTTTTTCAGTACTGGGGTTTGAACCTAGGGCCTTGCACATGCCAGGCAGGTGCTCTACTGAGCTATGTCCCCAACCTTCTGCCCCTTATCATTATTTTTTTGTAACAATAGAGAAGATCTTCATCATTGACTGTCATCATACCCAAGTGAGGACTCTCAGTTCTCCTGCCCTGACACACATGGCCAGCACACTCCCACTGAGAAGTTCCATTTGTGTGTGTGCCTCCTCTTTAGTGGGCAGGGGTTAGTTAGGTCTTGTGCACTTTGGACACAGTCTTTTTGGAGTCTTGAAAGCCCCTCCTTTGCAGGCCTGACCATTGAGAACATTTGTTCTAAAGAACACACTTCCAGAACCCGAATTATGCACAAGGAATCTCCTTCCTGTAGGAACCAAGTACCTTAGGGAGAAGCCTATCACTTGCTCCCATAGCCTGGATCTTCTTTTCTGGCTAGCAATAGCTAGCCTTTCTACAAACAGGTTTTCTGGGTAGGTTTTGGCATGGGGGGAGAGCTAAGGTGGCTTCCACAGATAAACTCAGAGTTTCCAAAGGCCACCCATGTCTTGTTCTTAAGATTCCATCAGGAGAAAGGTGGAAGTCCTTTTCCCACCAGAGCTGTGGTTATTCTCAAAGAATTCTTACATACTCCCTAGTATGGAGGACCACTCAGGTGGAAGACACCGCCATGATTCAGTGTCGTTTACCCAAGATGGAGAGCTGGCACGCCCCATACACGCAATGTATTCTCCTGCGTCATCAGAGTTGAGTGACAAGATTATACACACGTTAGTATGTTAGTATTGTCTCCTCGCTTAAATCACCCTGTCATTCCCACCTCTCAGGTTTTCAAGGTGTTCTCTGATGGTCTCAGAGAGTTAGAAGTACAACCTTCGCCCACTTGTTCTTCAAGCCCCCTTCCCAGGCTCCCCTGCTAGGCCTATATTTATCTTCTCCGCTTCTGTGGAGTGGTTGCTGCCTCCTCCTCTGTTCTTTGTGTCTGTCTGAAGTGACAGTTGCCTTTTCTCAGGAGAGGTTTTTCAGATCCTGGCCCAGGCTCTTCTGGAAGTACTGTGCTTAGTACCAGCATCTTTGTTTAGTTTTTATATGTGATTGTGCTGTTGTTCTTTGTTAAGCTAATGAATCAATAGACTTGTTTACAATGTGATATTTTCTATTAAATCTAATATTTTCAAATAAAATGTGTCATCTGTGAATTTTGACCTTCTCCTGAGTCACTGTTCCATTGCTGTGAAGAGACACCATGACCATGGCAACTTATAGAAAAAGGACCATTTAGGGCTGGAAAGATGGCTCAGAGGTTAAGAGCACTGGCTGCTCTTCCAGAGGTCCTGAGTTCAATTCCCAGCAAACACATGGTGGCTCACAACCATCTGTTGTGAGATCTGGTGCCCTCTTGGTGTTCGAATATACATGGAAGCAGAATGTTGTATACATAATTTAGTTGGGAATTGCTTCCACTTTCAGAGGGTTAGTTGACCATCATCATGACTGAGTGTGGCAGCAGGCAGGCACGATGCTGGAGCAGTAGCTGAGAACTTATATCTTATCTGCAGGATGGAGGCAAACAGAGAGTCTAGGCCTGGTGCAGGCTTTTGAAACCTGAAAGCTCATCCCCATTGACATATCTCCAACAAGAGCACACCTCCTAATCCTTCCTAAATAGTCCACTAACTGGGAACCATGACATTTGAATATATGAGCCTATGGTGGCCATTCTTACTCAAAACTTCCCCAGAGTGCAGAACGTTATCGTCTGAAAATGTATTTGGGCAACCCCTGTAGACATGTGTTGGAAGAAGGGGAGAGTGTGGGTCACAGCCTATAGTCTGCAGCCTGACTCTTGTTCTTGACCCTGGGGGCTAAGGGTGGATGCTGCCTAGATGCTGCACACAGGACCCGGCTCTGCTCTCAGTGCCTACATTTGGAGAAATGTGTATGAATACCAAATGGTACTATGTAGGGAGACACCCTAGCCCTGCCCAATAGTCCCGGGACAGGTGCCAGGTGGGCCCGGGACTCGCCCATAAGGGCATGGTGAAGGAAAGCCGGGGTGACGTAAGGGAAGGTTCTTAAGGGCTGCACGTGGAGACCCTAGCCCCTTCTCTCTGGCCGCACTAGCTGGGTTCCTATGACCTCGCTCTGGCCTGCGTTTTGCCCTGGTGCTTTCTTGAATGAAGAAATCTTACCATCACGGATTACAGTTCATCTCTGGGCACACGCGGTAATCTTAAGAGTACTAAGACAATGGGAAGCAATAAATGGTACAGGAAGGGTTTGTGTGGAGGGAGTGTTTACTGTAGACTGAGGTTAAACAAAACTGAAAAAGGAAGATGAGTTCAGTGCTTTGGGAAGTATTTTAAGAGCTGCCTCCTAACCCTATTTTCCCCCTGGAGAGTAACTGAAAGTCAGGGTCCGTCAGCAAATCTAGCAAGACTATGGCTCGACAGGTCGACACAGAACTGATAAATAATGAGCAGGAACAGCATCTAGTAAGGAGTGAACATGGACCCTATGGTGGTTTGAATAAGAATGGTATCCATAGGCTCATATATCTGAATGCTTAGTCACCAGGGAGTGGTGCTACTTGAATGAAGGATTGGGAGGTGTGGCCTTGTTTGAGGATGCCAGTCACTAAGGATAGGCTTTGAGGTTTCAAAAGCCCAGGCCATGCGCAGAATCTCTGCCTGCAGATCAGGATGTAGCTCTCAGCTACTGCCCTGTGCCTGGCTGCATGTCACCATGCTCCCCACCATAATGACAATGGACTAACCTCTGAAACTAAGCAACCCCCAGTTAGGTGCTTTTCTAAGAGTTGTCTTGGGGGAGCTGGAGAGATGGCTAGGAGGGAAGAGCACTGGCTGCTCTTCCAGAGGTCCTGAGTTCAATTCCCAGCAACCATGGTGGCTCACAACCATCTGTAATGAGATCTAGTGCCCTCTTCTGGCCTACACGCATAGATGCAAGCAGAACACTGTAAAAATAAATCTTAAAAAGAGTTGCCTTGGTTGTTGTGCTCCTTCACAGCAATAGAACAGTGACTAAGACACACCCCTAAATAAACTAATGAAGACTAAAAAAAGCATACAACTTCATACCCTAGTCTCACAAGCACAGCAATTGTCTGCTGATCCCTTCTTTGGGTCACCAACTCACAAAAAAACAAAACGAAAAATAACAAAAAAAAAGACAGACTTATTATGAAAGCTTAGCTGATAGCTTAGGCTTGTTTCTAACTGGCTCTTATAACTTAAATTAGCCCATTTCTATTAATTTATATGGTGCCACATGGCTCGTGGCTTGTTCCTCATCTCCTACATGTCATGCTTTCTCTGCTTCCCTTAGAGACTCCCCACTTCTTCTTCCCAGCATCCTCTGTGCCTGGAAATCCTGCCTAGCTATTAGCCATTCAGCTTTTTATTAAACCAATCAAGGTGACACATCTTCACAGTGTACAAAAAGATTGTTCCAAAATACCCCAGTGCCTCTGTAGTCAAGTGGGATATGCACCCCTGTGCCAACTTGAGCTCCTTCGAGAAGAACATATCATTCTTTTGGGGCAGAGATCATGCTGGGGCCTGTAAGAATCTTAGAAGATGCTCTCAAGGTGTGTGCAGCAGTGTTCAGAGGACAAAGCAGCCAGCTGAATGGGATTTCTTTTTCCCCTACTGGCCATACCAGGTTTGATAAGAAAGGCTTTGCTAAGTCAGAGGATCATGAATTCAAGGGTAGCCTGGGCCAAACAGCAAAACCCTATCTCAATAACATAGTTGATAAGGACAGGCTGAATCTATACAACAGCAAGCCTAATATTCACAAAGGGGAAAGACACAGATGTCTCAGCAGGAATGAAGAAAATGTGTAAGTTTCACTTTGTTTAGTAAAAAAATGGCAGTGTGGACATAAGTGTATGTCATCATCTACAGAATACCTCTGCTCAAGAGAGATGGAAACAGAGCCCAGCCTACTGGTTCCCCTTCTCAAATGCCATTTACCAGAGCCATCTTTCCCACCTCTTATACACTGAACTACAAACCCTATTCCCTAAACTCTGCCCAACTCTCTTCTTAGAACTGCTTACAGGCAGGTGTTTTATTTCCTACCAAGTAGAAGCCTCACAAGGACAGTTTATACTGACACTTCTTCAAGCTCTCAGATTCCTACCTGGCTGTGTCCAGCCTACTGATGAGCACACTCAAGAACATTTGTGGCCATTTACAATGTTTAACTTTTAACTTTCTTTTTTTCTTTCTTTTTTAAAAACTTTTTTTCTTTTTTTATTTATTATGTATACAGTGTTCAGGCATGTATGCCTACAAGCCAGAAGAGGGCACCAAATTTCATTATAGATGGTTGTGAGTCACCATGTGGTTGCTGGGAATTGAACTCAGGACCTCTAGAAGAGAAGCCAGCACTCTTAACCTCTGAGCCATCTCTCCAGACCCAAACTTTTAACTTTCTTTTGAGTTCTAGTTTCATATCTTGCTGAAATTCTATTCTTTCATATGTTTTGTTATTGAAGACTTTAGTATGTTAATTATAATTCTCAGTCAACTTCAAAGTCTGTCATATCCAAGTCTGAATCTGATGTTTGTGTTGTGTGTACTTCCCTTCTGGCATTATTTTACATGGGAAACTGGACCTGCTGGACCTGCTGGATTGGGCATAGGAGCTAAAGCCAGCAAGTCCTTCATGTAGTCATGTTACTTGCATTAGCCTTCGTCTAATGCTTGCTGGAGCTGTGCTAGAGGCTCCAGTTCCCAGTTCCCAGGTTTTGCCCCCCCCCCTTGTCTCTGGGTTTCCTTTTAAAAAATCCTTATATTGTTTGAGTCTTCCTGCTCTCAGTGGCCATCCAGGTTCTCAGGAGCCCCACTGATGGCCCCTGCTAGAGAGGAGCAACATTCTAATTAAACTTCATTTGTGGCCATCCCCCCAGCCCCATCTGTCCCAGTAGGTGAAAGGCCCTGGGTTGGAAATGTCCCAGTTCTCTTTCCTCACCCTACTCCTATCCCAGCCTTCTTGTGACAGGAAGGCTGGAGGGGCCTTGAGACATCCAGTTGCCCTTACTGTAATGGGCCAAAGAAGGAACTAGCAAAATAATTGTCCCTGAGGTCGAGCTTCTGTTTGAGAACAAAGTGTGGAGCTAATGTGTGTTTCAGTGGCTCCCTTCCTTTCCTCTGCTCAAAGCACAAGACTTTCTGTGCTCTGTGTGTGTGTGGGGGGGGGGGGGGGGTTGGGGAGGGTAGTCATGGTCCTATGGTCTTTTCTGACCCCAGCCACCTGCACTCACTGTTTCAGTGAGAGCTGTGAGGTGCCTGGAAGCCACAGAGATGTGAAGTCACCCTGAAGACAAGGAAGACAGATGTGTATTTTTCTGTTTCCTTTTTATGGTGGAGGTTAGCCTGTGACCTCAGTTCTCCAAATGACCTAGGAAGAGCTCTTGGTTTTCACTTTAAGCTTATTTTCCTTTTATGACACCCCATTCTTTTTCTAACACACGCCAAATTCTACACGCATGCACATACCCTACTCAAACATTCCCCAGTGCCTTAATCATGGACTGCTTAGGGTCAGTCATTAGACTTCCTGTTATTGACCTATGTGCAGCATGCTCAAGGCTGATCACACCTCCCTTTAGATATGGCATGCTTCCCCATCACACAGCTGGTGCTCTGAGATGACTGGCCACTCCCTGTCTCCTTTGCTGGCTTATCTTCTTTGGTCTCTTAGCATTTGTAATACCCAACAGTCCGAAGTTATATACAGAGCTACATGGTGAGACCCTGACTCAAAACAAAACAAAATATTCCACACCAAAAAGGTACACCATAGTTTTCTTAACACAAACCATCAGTAGGCTGAGTTTAGGCAATGGTATCAGTGGGTACAATAGTGTTTCTTCATCCTACTTGAGAGCTTCATATATAAGTTAACTGCTTATGTCAGGAATGGCTGAAGCTAATTATGACTGTCAGGTGTGGCACTTTGCTACATAGCAATTGTATAAGATACCAAGAATGTATCTAAGATACTTTTGAGTGCCCTTAAAAGTTTTTGACAATACTGTAATTTCTATCTTGCTGTTATCATGTTGTATCTATCAAGGAAAATAAAAATCCTAGAAATTGGGGCTGGAGAGATGGTTCAGTGGTTAAATACACTGACTGCTCTCCCAGAAGACCCAGATTCAATTCCCAGCACCCATATGGCAGCTCATAACTGTCTTTAACTCCAAGATCTGATCTGAAACCCTCACACAGACATACATGCAGGCAAAACACCAATGCAATACAATAAAAATAAATACATTATAAAAAATCCTAGAAATTGAAACTGCTTTCATCAAAAAATGCTACCTCTGGTCTAACCAGTTACTGTTTTGTGTTATGTTTCTTGAATTAGTCTTGCTATGTCATCCAGACTGAACTACATCCTGAGTAGAACTACATCCAGACTGAACTACATCCTGAACTACATCCTTGGCTCAACCCACCCAGGTGTGATCAGGGCCAGCACCTCTATTTTTAATGATACAGTAACTGTTGCCACCTGCTGGCTATGTTCCTAGCAGTACTGGGGAGCTGCAACTTCCAGTCAAAATTTTAATATTCAAAGCAAGTAGCATATGAATATGAATTCTTACTGGTTACTCTTGGCAGAAACATACATCTATTAAGAGATTTATAATGTTAACTACAACCTTCTACTACTAAAAATGACCCTACTTAAGCTGGGCATGCTGGCATACTCATTTGATCCCAGCTCTTGGGAGGCAGAGGCAGTCATATAGATCTTTAAGTTTGAGGCCAGCCTGGTCTACAGAGTAAGTTCCAGGCCAGCGGAGGGTTATGTAGAGACTGTCTCAAAAACAAACACACACACACACCCGAAGAAAGGAAGGAGAAGGAGAAAAACAACCTACTGACCATGATCTGTTGATCTAGTTAGCCAGATGAGGCTTTTCTGCTTGTAGTATCTCAAGACAGGAAAGGATACACCATGCACATCCTCGTCCATCTGAAATTGTGGGCTTGCCCTTTCACAACAATTCGGGACCCATATGGGTTGTCACTCCCTCCTCCCTACCCACCCAGGTATTCTGTGTCTAGTGTTTAAATGCTTTTTCTTTCTTCGGATAACTGACCAGGGAAATGGCCATAACAGGTAACAACCTAAGACTATACACAAAACCAGTAAAATGTCCTGAGTGGTAACTAGTTTATTAAAGTTACAAATAAAAATAATTTCATTGACTTGCTGAACCAATAAGTAGTTTTCAGCCTCTGATCAATACAAATGCATAAGTATTCCAAATAATGGAATATTTATCGATGCAACTAATAAAAATGGATGGGACAACTATGACAGCCAAGAGACAGCTAAGGAAACAGGGTGACTAAATGAACACAAAACATACACAGGCAGGGTGTTAGTTGGGGGGGGCAGGGGAGAAGGGGAGAGAGACCTGGGATTGACATGTAAAATAATTTTCTAATAAATTAAATAAAATAAATGAAAAAAAAACCATACACAAGGAAAAAAAAAATAAGAAAGTCTGTGTAAGGCATGGCCAATAAGTGTCGGCCACTGATGGTGGCACGTTACTAACACATGGTATCAACAAAGGGAAAACAACATGGGATATAAAGGGGCTTGAATACCACCTTTGCTGTTTGGGGTGAATTCCCACCAGTTTTGAGACAGGGTTTCAAGTTGCCCAGACTGGCCTGGAACTCGTAGTTGAGGCTGACCTCGACCTCTCCATCTCCCAGTATTCTCCTCACCCCCAGTGCTGAGACTGTAAGCATGCACAACATGCTTTGTTTCTTTGCAGCTTATCCATGAATCTAAAATCAAGTTTCTTCTTAAACAAGACCTGAGAGCTCCCGAGGTCCATAGCAACGCCTGTCACTACTACAGTGAACAAATATATAACAGGGAGGTGGGAAATGGAGCCACGTGTGCATTAGGGAAGAGAGGTAGACCTGGAGTCACGGTGGTGATGACAGGTGAGAAGGCTGAGGTCTACATGCTGTCATGCCTGGTAGGGTCAGCTGGATGGTGTTCAACAGCCTGGAGCCTATGCAGATGCAGACTCCTTCCCCCACTCTCCCCTCCCTCCCTCCCTCCCTTCCAAGTGCTGCCCAGTCAATCTGGGAAAACCCAGAGGCCTAGGATGAGGAAAGGTTCACTTTTGGATTAGATTTCTTGAAAGGACCTGTGAGAGGTCATGTTAGTGTGGGTGGTCCATGCTGCTGCCCCAGACTGTGATGAAACCTGAGATCCATGTGGATTTACATAGTCTATGATGTTGCCCAATGCCCTGGTGTGAACTCCATTGTTGCCTCAGGGTGCCATACTGATGTGAGTGGCATGTGTAACCACCTGAGGCCATATTGAGGCTTATAGTCTGTGCAGCTGCTGAGGGCCATGAGTGGTCCTGATAA